TCACTTACTGGGTGGGAGTATAAGTACTATTGGTGGGAGTATAAGTGGGTTCTTTCCTTCTGGAAGTCAGTTCAGCAGTATCAAAACTAATGATACAATGACCTCTGACCTCATAATTTCACTTTTAGGGATCTTATAAAAAAAAGTCATCAACATGTAGGCTAAGTGATTTCTGTATAAGGTATTTATTATATCATTGAATTAACTAAAGACAGTAAATTATGTCAATAGGGAATATTTTAAAAAATTATATCTGTACTGTAATAGTATGTAACTATGAAAAGGAATGAAGTAGTTCTATATAGACAGACAGAATAATCTTTGTGCTATATTGCTAAGTGAAAAAAAGTTGCAGAACAGGAGATAGAGGAAGAATCCATTTACGTAAACAATGAAACCCAAAGTGTATTGGTGTGCACATGTGTGCACGTGCTTGCAGTTTTATAGAAAAAAAGACTTCAAAGGGTAAATACCGTTCTGCTTACACTTGGGGAATGCTTGTGGGAGGTGGGGGTTTACCTCATGTTCTTCAGTGTGGTTTGAACTTTCTTTACAGTAAAACTAAACTTACAATGAACTGTAGTAAAATCTAATCTTTTGGCTTTCACATATTTTATTTTAGGATTGGTCCAAAGGAAGATTTTTTCCACTGTTCGAAATGTAACTTATGTTTAGCTATGAATCTCCAAGGAAACCACAAGGTATCAATTGTAATAATTTTTAAAAGTATTACAATGTTTTTGAAAATGAGCTTAAATCCTAATGTTTTGAAGCATAATTTTCAGATATTACCAAGTACAACCATGTTGCTTTTTATTTTTAAGCAGTCTTAAGGAAGGAATAGATTTTTTTTAAATATACACCTCAGAATATCTGATCCACCATACCACCTCTTTATAGTGTATATGAATATTTATATCAGTTGCTAGTGTAATGTTGACAACTCTTAAATTGGTTTGTGGATATTTATTGGTACTAGTTTCAAGAATAGCTTTCACAATGCATAGTACAGAAGTACAGAACAGTGTGATCTGTTAGCACAGCATTCCAAGAAAATTCAGAAATATACGTATATTTGTTTCATAATTAAAGAAATAATTTTTAATCCAGGTGTAGCAATTATATCATGTTCCTAAGCCCTTAAAATTATTTTCCATTATTTAGAAAAAATGTAATAAGTTATCATTTATAGTACTGATTCTATCTAATATAAGAATTTAGAGAATGGAGAGACTAATGTGGATTTTTAAAAATAGGTAATAACTGACCTAAAATAGTAAAGTGGTAAGAGAAATTGAGGTGAATAATAGATATATGGGATATAGTGACAAGGTATAGTGGAAAAAGAATAGGGCTAAGTAAAGATGGCTCTCATGGTTTTTAGCCCTGGCTTATGGTACTTGTTTGATAGATTGTGAATTTGTTCTAGCTAAAATATTGAGTTTGGTTTTATAGACTTGAGTCTGGGGTGATAGCAAGATAAGCTATGCTGTCTTTCAAAACTTACATGCACATATTCTCTTATATTTTTGTTCTGTTTCTCAGTTATCTTTTATTGTCTGTATTAGTAACTGGTCCTACCCATCTACTCAAGTGCTTGCTTAAAAAAACCTGCGCATCATCCATGGCTTGCTTGGTGCTTTCCCTTATCTTCTTACATCTAATCAGACACTGTCTTGTCAAAGTTAAGAACTCAGGCCCTGGAGATAGCCTGTTGGAGCTCAAATATAGTTCCACCTCTTGTAAGCATGCAATTATGGAAGTTGTTTTAGCTTCTCTGGGCCTCAAGTACCTCATATGTAAAGTGGGATAATAATTACACTTTTTTCATTTAGAGATTGAAGTATTAGTTAAGCTAGTACAAGTAATGAACTTAGCATACAGCATGTAGTAAAATCTCAATAATATGAACTGTTATTATTATCAATATTATTAAATAGTTTAGCTTTGGAGTAAAATACGTATAAAATAGAAAGGTTCCAAACATTATCTCTGCATCTTTGATTAAGTCTTAACTCACCAAGTTTCCTTATCTGTAAAATGAAGATAATTTGAATAATTAAGATATATTGAGCAATATCATTGTTTCAGATAAAGTGCAAGAGCTGAAATGGTTGTGAGAGTTAAGCTGTTTTTGTCAGACATATAAGAAACATGTATTAATGTTAATTATTACCTTTACTAAATAGGTATTATTTCCTTTATTAGTTTTTATTATTAATGATATTGTTATATCTGTCATTTCCATCTAGTTAAGCTTTTGTTAATTTGAGTTTCTCTTTTAAACAGTGTATTGAAAATGTTTCTCGGCAGAATTGTCCGATATGTTTGGAGGTAAGCTTAAAATAATTTTTGCTTTGGGACTATCCCCTGGTGAGTTTAAAATACTTATATGTTTATATTGTCTTCATGCAAGCACTAACAGTTATTTTCTTTTGCAGGACATTCACACATCTCGTGTTGTTGCTCACGTCTTACCGTGTGGACATCTTTTACATAGGTAGTATAACTTTGGTTTCTTTTCTCAAAAATGTTTGAAAATAGTGGAGATAGTTTTTGCTTTACTAAAATGATGTCATGTTTTCTTTCAGAACGTGTTATGAAGAAATGTTGAAAGAGTGAGTGTTTGGGATTTTAAAAAATTATAATAGTAAGATGTCTGGTTTTTTTTTTTTTTCATTGCTCTTATTTATACCATATTGGGCATGACATATTTATATTGAAATGGGTAGAGTAGAAGAGTAGTGTTAAACTGGGTGCAAAGCATATTGGGGAATGTAGAACTACACTTTTGTCCCCATGTTTCTATTATGCCTTATCTCATCCTACAAACAGATAGGAACTCCTGATTTTCTGGCTATACCTACCAGGAGGCACAGTCTCAGCCAGAGGCAGTCATAGTTTTGTGAAAATGCTGAAGCATGTTAAAATTCTGTTAAGTAGTTATATTGGTCTAGTATAATGACCTACAAAGAAAGCTGGTAACGAGATTATTTAAACCTGAGACTTTATTGTGGGAGAAGGATGTTAAATTGAGGTAAGAATAGTTAGGAAAGAGGAGACTTGTAAAATGTGTTTTGGTCTTGCAAATTGATGAGCAGAGATTTTAATTTACTATAATAGCCAGATAAAAGGAAACTTTCAGAATTTTTAGAAAGGAAATCATATCTGAATAAGTTTTAAGGAATACAGTCTCTTTGCTTGAATATATTCAGATAAAAGGAAACTTTCAGAATTTTTAGAAAGGAAATCATATCTGAATAAGTTTTAAGGAATACAGTCTCTTTGCTTGAATATATTCAGTGTTGAGCTAAAAAGCAGCTTAATTGGTTTTTAAAAATAGTATATTCTACAAAGACCATGGACTAATTACTTTTCGTTTTAGAGAATTGAGGAAAAAGAAGTAAGTTTAAAAAAATACTGTATGATATGGGATTTAATTGAAAACTTGTAGGGTAAAAGTTTCCAGATTTGTAACAGATCGTCTTGAAATATAGAATAATGCTTTGTCTTGTCTGGTTTATGTATCAGTTAGCATGCATCTTCTTGTATACTTGAGTCGATATACTCCGTTTAATTGTTTGGAAAATAACCTTCCTATCTTTTCTAGAGGCTACAGATGTCCATTATGTATGCACTCTGCTTTAGATATGAGTAGATACTGGAGACAATTGGATGATGAGGTAGCACAGACTCCTATGCCATCAGAATATCAGAACATGACTGTGGATGTGAGTAGAATTAGTGTTTAAAACTTTTCAGGTTCTTTGTTGATATTCCTGTTTGTTTTTGCCCTTTTGATCAACTCTGTCTAAAAATACTCCTTTGGCATAGATGCCAATGTGATGATTAATGGGAAGGACAAAATAATCTTTAAATTTTAGTTACTTTGAATTCAAAAGACCAGGGAAAAAAGTTCTAAGAATAACTTTGCGTGCAATTCTTTCCAACACTAGATGGCAGGCAAAAACTTTCTTCTGAATTATTTATACATTACTTGCCAGAATCAGTCAGTAATGTTAACTGAGTCGAGGTGAATTACTCATTAAATGTTTTATTTTAACTATGTTTTATTTTTAATTATTTTAAATTTATCTCAATCAAACATGTTTGCTGATTTTTAAAGATTACTTTTGGTTTTTAATGTTTATTACCCTGTTTATTCTATCTTAAGACTTTTTTATTTGGTCTTAACTTGCAACTTAAAGTTAGCTTTCTGGTGCTTTAATAATTTTTGGACATCTAAATTTTTTAAACATCTTCAGTTTTGCTCATATTTACACACAGAAAAATCATAACCACTTAACCAAAGCCAAATAAAAATTATTTTTTGTTTTATACACACTGGAGCATTTCATAATTCATGAGGGTAACTGAATTGTTAGTAAGGTTAATGATTGGTCACTTTTGGAATATTGATAATAACCAATAATAACTGATAATCATGTGATGTTTTACTAGAGGCTGTAGTGTGCTTTGTTTCATGTAGATCATTTTTTAAAATAACAGCTTTAATCAGATATATTTCACATGCCACACAACTCATCCATTTAAAGTATATAATTCAGTGCTTTTTAGCATATTGTTGGAGTTGTACAAACATGGTCACCATCAATTTTAGAATATTTTCATCACTGAAACTGTACCCATTAGCAGTCATTCCCCAATTCACTAGCTATCGGCAACCACTTATCTGTTCTCTGCATTTAGATCATATTCTTGAGAATTATTTTTCAAATTAGAGTAAATTTTGGAGTTTTCTCCTTATTATGGTTTGACTATTCTAAAGCTAATGCTTTTCTCACATAGTTTTGATCGATTTTCAGCTTAACACTTTTTATATTTTTCAGGATTTTAGTACTGGAAGATAATTCCTTAGTAGCACCTTATTGTCATTTTAGAGATGAGCCAAAAACTTCTCTTTGTTCAATTTTAGGTACTACTTTTGGACTTTAATTCATTCCTGAGGCCTAGAAGACTAGGAACTTAGTATATTAAATCTAAAGAATAAGCAAAAATATTATAAGTATGTAAAAATCTGTTTTATGAAACATTTTCTAAGTGTCAGTAAAAATAATGAAATATATATGTTATTTTGAATTGTAAGTACAGATGGTACTGGATTTATGACGATTTGACTTACAATTTTTGACTTTATGATGGTGCAAAAGTGATACACTTTCAGTAGAAACAGCCTAGGCGAAACTGATATCTGGTAGGTTAAGTGTATTAAATGCATTTTTGACTTATAGTATTGACTTATGGTGGGTTTATCAGGATGTAACCCCATTCATTGTAAGTCATTGTAAGTCAAGGACCTGTATAGGTATTGATCTGATAATGCCTATGTTAATTTTTGTTTTAGCACTATTTATACTACTTGAGAACTATTTTAAAATAGACTTCTTGGCTGTAATCCACATTTTCATTTTCTGAATTCAGAGCTACTTTTAATAACTTCTTAGAGTTTTCAGTGGACAAATGAAAGGTATTTCTACTTATGAAAGTGTTTAAACTTATATATGTGTGTTTTCATATCTTCAGTATGATCTTTGAGGAATTATTTTGAGCAGATAATGCCACTTTATATCTGTAAGGTTTAATATACTTAATTCGAATTCATCTCTTCACTTTTCAGATTCTCTGCAATGATTGCAATAGAAGATCTACAGTCCAGTTCCATATATTAGGCATGAAGTGTAACATTTGTGAATCCTACAATACTGCTCAAGCTGGAGGTTGTAGAATTTCACTTGATCAGCAGTGACCAGCCTATACTGCACTGGAAAACTCAGCATTTTCTGATAGAAAAAGGCTATCTTTAGTATCCTATTGTCATAATGTGTCAGAATCTATGCATTAGAGTTGGTGTGTTTTGTACTAGTGTCACAGCATAAAATCATATTGCAAGTACTTAAGGATTCAGGGTCTCTCTACAGAATTATCATAGCTCTATATTTAATGAAAGACACTGCACTTGTGTTTTGATTGGAAATTCCTTTAGAGTCAGGTTTTTGGAAAGCCAATGATGTTTGCCACTGAAATTCACATCCATAGAAGTATGTATACTTTCATGGAACTTTGCTTTAAGTGGCACTATGCACGCAGACTTCACTTCTAGTTTTTGATAGAACTGTACTTAATTCTCAGTATTATTCTTGACTTTTTAAGGGCTGTGCTATGAGAATATGTTCTATCTTACAGTTAAAATCTAATTACATATGCATTAGAATTTTCTAAGACAGTCCTTTGGATCCTCTAAATGTGAATTTTGACGTAATAACTGCTAATAAAATTATATTGGAACAGTGTTTTATAGAAAGTTTTTTCCAGGGAACCACTTTTGACTCTGTTTTTGGCTCAAGTAGGACAATATAGTCTTATGTAAAAAATGTCTCCTCTTTTTCTTTTGAGTTATTCTTCCATAAGAGTAGTTGAGAAAAATGTAAAATAATAGAACTCTTCCACGCCTTTAGGAAACCATCAACGTGAAAATAATTTTGTTTTGGTTGCCCAAAATTATTTCTTCTAAGAACAATTCATTTATTCAGTAGGTAGGTATTCAGTGAGCAACTACTTTGTGCTGGGTATGGTTCTAGATGCTGTAGAGACAACAGAGAACAATATATGCTGTAGAGACAACAGAGCACAATATACACAAAAGTCCCTGTCCTTAATGGTGGTGCATTCTCGTGTTCCTCATACTTGACTAGCTTTTTCCTTGTTTTTCTTTAAGCATGGAGTGGGTGTCTTTGTTGTCAGTGGGTGGATTCTTTTTTCCTTAAATGCTTCAAAGGTACGGATGAGTAGAAGGGGCATGGAATATTCCTGGCAAGATCTCTGATTTCATAATACTTTTTTGGACTCATATAATGGAATTAAATATACCTCTTAATTCAGGAACAAAAGTACACAGTGATGTTTGATGATCCTGAACTTTTACAGTAATATCCCAGTATCCAACTTAGCCTGTTTATAAAAAGGTTATCTTGTATGAATAAAAAAGATAGTCTTATAAATAAAAATCCTAATATTTCTGATATATTTCTTCTTTTTTTGAAATATCTTTATCTAGATAAAAGCAGCAGTATCGATTTCCAATTTTGAGCCCAGAATTTCTCTATTCTGTCTTGCCTTCCCAACTTCTGTGTTCCAATCCTGTGTTCTCTCCCTTCATCTGTTTCTTGGCCTGGGTAGAGCTCAATGCTGATCTTGATTTCAGGGAAAGAATGAGATATCTTGCTACGTGTTACCACTCAGTATACAGATAAGGAAAGACTAGTTTTCTAGATGTAATACTTTTTGTTTCTGTTGTTCTGCTAAACTAGTTTAAATCGTGTTATTGCTTTTAATCATCTAATTGTTAGATCTTTGAGTAGGAGTGAGTTTATAATAGTAACAAAAGTCTGTGTTTTGAGAATCTACTATGTGCTAGGCTTATGCATTAGTGTTAATCATTATAATAATTCTGTAGAGTAGGTGTTTTCGTTTCGTAGATGAGAAAGCTAGGTTTCAGAGGTTAAATGACATGCTCGAGTAAATGACAGGTACTAAATGTTAGAACTGGGAATCAGTTCCAGGTTTATGACCCCAATCCCCGTGTACCACACTGCCTTTGATTCAAACTTCTGTTTTGCTAAACTACCCTTGATAGCTAAGTCATCTATTATGGAGGAGCTCATGATTTGATAGACCTTTTATTTTTAGTTGTCTTATTTTAATTCAAAATTGGATTACTTATATCCTCAATTAGATCTAAATTTGTCCAGAATATTGCAGAATTTGTATGTAATTGCTTGTTTATGATATCCAGTCATATGCTTGAAGCAATTTTCAAATGCCCTTGAAGTCCAGGATATAGTACCCTGGTTTTCTTCAAGGATTTGTCCATTACATTTCAATTCAGTGCTTAAAATTCTTCAACAGTTCTAATTCACACTCACAAGTTCCTTAGCATTCAATATGTAATAACTTAAAATGGAAATGTCTTAAAATTTTTTTGGCATTTTTTTGATTCAAAAATATCTTTATTGTAGGAAATGTTAAGAAGGTAAACTCACAATCTTGTTTTTCAGTGATAACTACTGTTATTGTTTAAACAAATAACTTCATTTTTAAAATTTCCTGTTCATAGAGAGTTTTTAAAAGCTTACAGGAATGTTAAATGCTTAGTCTGATGTTAGGAATAGTAGAATTGTCTGTCGGTGAAATAAGGTACAGCAGAATTCTCTGTGCCTAAAATAAGGTTGCCCTAGCACAAAATTTGTATCTTAGTGTACTTATTTTAAAAACCAGTAGCTCAATATGTTTATGAATTTCTTGATGCATAGAAGCTCATTGACCTTTTTATCATTAAAGAAGTGTGTATCAAGTTGTTTTTTATCTCTTGTTTCTAGAGTCTTAACTAGTCTATGGAGCTCTGTATGATATTTTAGCTTATGTTTGAAGTAATAGTATGGTAATGGTGTCATGGATTTTTAAATCAATCTTGGTTTTTTTTTTTTCACTAAAACCTATTTTTATATTGTATACATGTTAAATTTTTTTTTAATTTTTAAAAAAATTTTGGACATGAATCAAGATGAATGTGAATACTAAGGAGCCAACATCCTTTTTAAGTTCCTGGCACTTAATAGGTATTCAGTAGTCAGTAAATTAATTTGAAGTTAATTAGATATTAGGTAGATATCAAAATTCTATGCCATTTTTTAAAATAATCATCTCTGCTTAAGTTCTCTTAAAATTTTTGCTGTTCGCATTACATTCATAAAATTAATTTCTTTCTATGTGGTCTTGTTTCTTACTGTCATTTTCATGTGGACATTTTTCCTTGTGTTTATCCAGGCAATCCTTTGGATTGTATGCTACCTTTGGGCAGGTCTGCTTTTTTTATTTTGGTTTTACACATCCCTTTTCATTCCCATGATAGAGTTAGAACTACCTGGTTGTCTTACAGTCAGTTTCACTCTAAGCCTTCCCTCTCACATCCATGCTGCCAGATTACTTTTCTTAAGCTTAGACTTACTATAATTTTGGTCAAAATAAAGTATGGATTTCCAACTGTATTTAATTAAGCACAGGTTCCTTGCTTTGAAGTCTTTACAATATTGTTCCAATTTTATCTTTTCAGTTTTATTTTTCATTATTCATTTACATATACTTAAACACACCTCTTCTGAATTTTTTGCTCCTGCTTTTGCACATATGGTTTCTTCATGGAACAGTCATTCTTAGAAAAATGTTGTCATAGGCCTGCCTCTTCTTCACAGACCAGGTCAAAGTTTATCTTCTCCATGAATGCTAATTAATATTCAAGGTTCTTTTGTAATTTCTCCCTCTTAGGCAGTACATCCCTCTGTACCAGTCTTAAAGGACTTAATATTTCCTTCATTGTGGTTCAAGTTTTGCCTTTCCCCTCTTCATTTCAACACTGTATATGAAACAGTGTATATAAAGCTTCCTGTGGACAAAGCAGGAGTGGTTGTGGAGGTACCACTAAAGCAACTAAAAGCCTCTAGCAGTTGACTTGTGGAAGACAGAAACACAGGATGTAACTGATGGGGGCTAAGAGGAGGTAAGGAAGTGGGCTATGGAAGCACCCTAACCCAGGGGGATTGGGGTGAGAGAGAGAGCCTATTACTTTTTGAGGACCAGGGATGGGGATTTTCATCTTATACTTTGCTCATAAGAATTTGTTGAATTTCTAGTGAGATTAAAAGAACGTTCCCAAGTTTCACCGTATTTAAGAATCTGGTAGAACTGTATGTACATGTATGTACAAAAATTCTTTGAAAAGACCTGCAGAAATGTTTAGTACTAGAATGTATTGCTTGAAATGTGATGGTATCATGAACCTTTCTCAAACTAGAAGACAAGAATCAATTAAGTCATGCTAAAATCTGGTTGATAGTTCATCTATTCACTTATCCACTTAAAAGATTTATTTTGTACCAGTTACATGCCAGGCTCTGTATCTAGAGCTGGGTTACCAAAAAAAAAGTAAGACAGTAAATGACTTCAAGTTGTTCCTGACTTAGCAGAGGTGTATGTGTGACAGTGCTATAGGAGTGCTTTTGTGGATTTCCAACAGTGTGTCAAGTGGCTCGGTAAGTAAGGAGCTCTTAGAAACAGCCTCTTCTGGGCAACTTTTTGGCTTGGTTCTGCCACACAGGGACCCACAAAAGTATATTGTTTGGGAGCTGTGTAATCCTGTGACCTATATGTTCTCTAGAGTAAGCAGTTAAGCTTAAATTCCTGTGGATGTCGATTAATGGACTCATTCTGTGATATGTGATACGCAGGTTCCTTAGGGTAATGCCTGCTATTCCTCAGTTTATTAAGGATTGTCCTTGCTCAGATTTTGTTGCTTTGGCATGCCAAGCACCTACTCTTGTAAACCTCTGATCAGGATCAAAGCATCAGGCTGGTTGCACTTTTTTTCCCCGAGAGGCAAACATTCCAACTGTGCTGCTTTAACTCTTTGTCCCTTTCCTCTTGCATATTCTATTTTTCTTAGAGTCAGAATTCAAAATGAGCTAAGTATGCTAAACAGCTCTTTAGCCTGTATAGATGATGCTACTGCAGTTTCAACAATTGCCAGTAGAGTGAACTTAGGTGAGTCTTGGCCGTTGGCTCCTCATCCAAAAAAGGACTCTGAGGCTGAGCCTACCTGAGCCTGGAGAACTTTGAAAAAAAGTTCTGGGTCTTGCTCCTAAGGCCCAGTCACAACATCAAAAGATTGCTTTTGGAAACTCATCCCTGATTGTTTACCACCCCCTACCCCCACCTCCCACTTGGCATCACAACAACATTTGCTTGAAAAATCTGATTGGCATTTGTTCCAGTCTGCCATGCTTAGATTATTTACACATTAAGTTAATCTCCCTTGTTAAATTCTGATTTCTTTCAGAGCAACTAGGATAGTACCTGTTATGGAACTTAATATGATCTGTGCCTTCTCAAAGTTTTAAAGGGTTATATTTCTCCAGATTTCTGAATCAAGTTCTGAATTGAGAAGTAAATTTGGGAGTCAGATATTGCTGCCATCAGAGAAGGGAGATTGTGACTTGAAACCATGGCCAGTTTGAGTTTGTTCTTATTTTAAACTAAATTTACCTGTATAGCCCCTGGCTACAGGCCTCCTACGGGGAAGTTCTGCCCTGAGGAGAGGAGCAGTGTGTCGTACACACTGCAACTGCCAGGGAGCAAAGCTAGAGCCTAGAAAGGGCTTAGGCCATGCATGTGCAGTGGCTTTTCCCCAAATCTCTGATGGGGTGGGGTGAATGGGAAAGCCATGGAGAGAAGGATGGAG